TTGTGTTCCAGTTATATTTATTGTGTTTTAGTTCTTAGATATTTCTTGTTTGCCCTCTTGTCTCAGTCTCCTTTTTACTAGCTCCCTTCTTGCCTCTGTTCACACCTGCTCCTAATCTGCTAATTAGCCTGGTCTTTGTTTCTCTCTCCCATTTATTCTCCTCCTGTTCAGTCACTCTTGGCTGGTTTGTCATCATTTATTTGCCCCCTTGTTGTAAGTATTCCTGGTCTTCAGTATTTTGGGATTTTTGTGGATTTATGTTTTTGGATTTTTGCTTTTGTTACCCTTTTTGTTATTAAACCTTCAAGTAACCACCTCAAGCTGCATTTGGGTCCTGTCAAACCTTCACCCCATTGTGAAATACTGCTTAAATACCAATTTTAACAAATACAAATAAAATAGATATCAAATCATGACCTTTAAAAGAAGGTATTAAAAAGTCATTATTATAATGAAGCCTAGGCGGAAGTTCAAATGAAGACACTGCTTACTCACCTTCTTCCACCTCTGAAACAGGCCAATCAGCTTTGAACCACACCCCCATAAAACCCCAATCAGCATCCAGAGTTCATCTTAAAAGATCCCCACATCTACAACTCAGTCTGCTAACCAAAGCGCAGGCATTGGTTGCGCTACGCCTGACTTCGTTTCAGATGACTCCAATTTAACCCGCCTCCAGCCCCTTCTCCACCATCATAGCTAAAGCTTCATCAGAGAGTCATACCTCCCAGACTCTTACTGCGTTCCCTGTCTCATCTTAACCAGTCTGGCAGGAGACCACCAGGTTGAGCCTGGTTCTGTCAGAGGTTTCTTCCCAAAGGGGATTTTTGGTCTCTCCACTGTTGCATCATGCTTGCTCATCATGAAAAGGTTCATGTAACCTGTCTTATCAAAGCTGGAGTTCCATCTTTCAGGTCCCTGAATGAAGCACTAGTATCAGCTCACGCAATCCACTGGAGGGAATACAGGGCCATACAGCTGAGGCACACCGTCTCGCCAACTAGAAGTCTATGGATTGACTTCATCTATCTCCACTCTACAACCAGTTTCAGGCCTGGAGGGAAACATCCCTGTTCTTTACTCCTGTTCATGCATATCAAAAAATCTGAGTGCCAAAGGCTAAAGCAACCATATAAATAAAATTATTTTGTCTTTTTCATTCCGTGTGAATTTTTCAGATTGAACTAGTATTTAACGANGCTACAGAGCCATCGTCTCATGCTGAATGATTAACCTGGACGGTACTCCCAGCCACTCTCGAGTCTCCCACGTTAAAAATTCCTCTTGCGGAGTTGTGACCTGTGGTTACATCTCTGTTTTGCTCTTCCAGAAACTCTTCCCCTTTCCAGACCAATTCACTCATTAACTTTTTCATTATTTTTTTTTTCTTTTCAGATAACTGGGGGGATTACCAGAATGATTGTGCATTTTTCAAAAAGTTACCTCCAATCATGTCATTTATTAACCCATTAATGCAGTAATGCATGTTGCCAACACACTAGAGTGCTTGCTACATAGCTGTGGTTTTATTAATTATGCATTCTATTATGCATACCAACATCCACGATAATGTGATGACTCAATATATGTCACGCGATGAGCGGTTTGCTTGAAACGAACTACAAGAAAACTTTCACTTACAGCTCATGTATTCTTAGCCGTTGTTGAAAACTGAGATGCAGATGTTGCTTACCCTCAAATTCAGCCGTGCAAGAAGATTTATATCCATTAAAATTCAAAATTAAGTACTTTTAGCCTATATAGCATTATCTACATTATCAGGAATGCACCTGAATGTCAGCAGCCCCAAAATTTGCACGCAAAACAATAATCCCCTTTTCAGTTATATAACCGTAGAGGTTTCCGGATGCAATAGACTTCATAACAGGTTACTTTAGGTCCCTTTTGATATTTCAAAGAGAGGTACATGATTACAAACACTCTTGGTGGTATTATAGTTGAACTTTAATGATAAAATACTGTATTAATGAGTTCATTGATGCTTTAACATGCACACAATAACATGCAGTTTAGGATCACTTGGTGCATCCAACATTTTAACATTACTATTTAGGAGTTATTATTACTTCAACTTGGTATTTATAAAGCAATAATAAGGAGTAATTCTTTATTTCAGATAAAAAGAGCTAAAAAAAAAGGTGATGTTAAAACTACATAAGTATAGTATA